ATATATTGGAGAAGTTTCCATGTATCTAGTCCCTTCATCGTTCGGCCTGGAGAGACAATCGGCAGGCGGGGCGATGAATTATACTTTAAACTTCGAGACGTCCCCTTCGTCGCCTCGTTAAAAACCTACCCGAGAAAACCCAATTGGGATAAAACCCGGGCGAGGGAAAAAGAGTACGATTTTTGGGGGGCGTCCTTTTTCAGAAGTTGAAGTATTTGAGGTGAGCGATGTTCCAATTGTTTGGTAGTGGTTTTCCTTCCATTGTCTCTAGTTGGAATGCTCCTTTGCTTGCTGGTGCAGTGATTTTGTATGGTCCGTCCCAATTGGTTCCTAGTTTGCCTTCCTTCGGATCTTTGCTTGCCAGTGTTTTGGCTTTGAGAACATAGTCTCCGACTTTGAGTGGTCGTACTTTGGCCTTTTTGTTGTAGTACCTTTTTGCCTGCTGTTTTTGGGCTACCATTCTTACGTAAGACACGTCTCTTCGTTCTTCCACCTCGTCGAGGTCTTGTCTTCTGTTCTCGTCGTTGTTCCGTCCACTTTCATTGGAGTACCTTAGGCTGGGCTCTCCGACCTCAACAGGTATCATGGCGTCACTCCCGTGGACTAGTGAATATGGCGTTTCGCCTGTGCTTGTTTTTGGCGTAGTGCGATAGGCCCATAGGACCTCTGGTTGCAACTCCGCCATAACCCTTTAGCGTCCTCGAGATTTTTCTTTAAAATGTTCAGTATTGTCTTGTTTGAGAATTCGGTCTGACGGTTGCCTGCGGGATGGTATGGCGTGGAGAGTATTCTCTTGATGTGCTATTTTTCGAAGAATGCGGTGGTCTTTCTCCCGGTGAATTAGGGCCCCGTTGTCACAGCTGATTTCTTTAGGGATGCCGAAACGGCATATAATATTCTTCCATATGAATGTGATGACTTCCTGTTTGTGTATTTGGGTAAACGCACCTGCTTCCACCCATTTAGAAAAGTAGTCAGTTAAAACTAAAAGGAACCGTATCTTATCTCGACCCGCTGGGAGGGGTCCGACGATGTCCATTCCCCATTTTATGAACGGCCACGGCGAGGTAACAGATTTGAGATGTTTGCCCGCTTGATGTATCATAAGTGCATATTTCTGGCATTGTTCGCATCTTTTGACATAATCCGCGGCTTCTCTTTTCATGGTGGGCCAGTAATATCCTACCCGAATAAGGCATCTGACTAGGGCTCTATTGCCTGTATGGGCACCGCAATGGTCTTCGTGTACTTCTTCGAGCACCCGCCTCGTCTGATTCGGCCCTAGGCATTTAGCCAAAGGGCCTCCGAACATTCTCTTATATAGGTCATGATTTAAGATGCTGTACCTGGCCACCTGCATCCGGAGCTTTTTGGCTTCTTTTTTGTCTTGAGGGAGTACTCCTTCCTGCTAATATGTTATGATGTGGTTGCGCCAGTCCTAAGTCAAATTTACAGAATGTACCTCAAGTTGGTCTATTAATGAGTGAAGGAGGGTGACCACATTCTCCTTGGTGATATTTCTGGTCGCTGCTTCCAGTTTGGCGAGGTTATCTGCTTCGATGTTTTGCGCCCGAGGTATCTGGTCGAGTCGACATTCATCGAATTCTGACAGTAATTTATGAATTTCTGCTTGATATTTCTGTAGCCTCTGCTCCTTGATTTGAAAAGTCCCTGTAACTTGGTTGACGACGAGTTGTGAGTTGCATATGAGGACGACTCGTCGTACTCCGTATTCGAGGGCTAGCTTTAATCCTGCAATCACAGCCTCATACTCGGCCTCGTTGTTAGTCATTTTGGGGCACCGTATGGATTGGCGAATAACTTCGCCTGTTGGGACTTCAAGTACGAGTCCTAGTCCAGACCCCGTAGCATTAGATGCGCCGTCGGTGTAAAGGACCCAGAGGTCGGATTGCCCAGGAGAGGTACGAAATATTTCCTGCTTGACCTCGGACAATATTTTGACACTGAAGTCGGCGACGAAGTCGGTGAGTACCTACGATTTTATTAGTGCTCGCGGCTGATATGTTATATCGTGCTCGCTCAATTCTATGGCCCACTCGGCCAGTCTTCCCGACAATTCGGGTTTATGCAGGATGCTCCGAAGGGGGAAAGTCGTCACTACTGATATGGGGTGACATTGAAAATATGGTCTACGCTTTCGTGAAGCTATGACCAGTGCCAGAGCTAGCTTCTCGAGGTGGGGATACCTCGTTTCGGCATCGACCAGGGTTTTGCTGACACAATAGATCGGAGATTGCATACCTTTGTTTTCGCGAACCAGAACTGCGCTTACCGCAACTTCCGAAACGGCCAGGTAGACTAGGAGGCGCTCGCCAGGTTCCGGTTTAGCGAGTAGTGGGGCGAGGACAAGTATGTCTTTAGCTCTCTCAGGGCCTCGATGCATTTTGAATTCCACTGGAGCCCGTTGTCTTTTTACAGCACATTGAAAAACTTGTGGCATCTATCGAATGACCGTGAGATGAATCTCGACAGGGCGGCTATCCGGCCAGTCAGCTTTTGTACCTGCTTTTTGCTGGTTAATACTTCAGGTATTCCTTCGATGGCCTTGATCTAGTCTGGGTTGACTTCGATGCCTCTTTGTGATACCAAGAAATCGAGAAATTTGCCCGAGGTTACGCCGAAGGCGCATTTTTCGGGATTCAGTTTCATGCCGTACTGTCTTAGTATGTTGAAGGCCTCTGTAAGGTGGTCGATGTGGTCTTCTTTCCTTTCTGATTTGACCAACATGTCGTCGATGTAAACTTCCATTGTTTTGCCGAGTTGATCTTTGAACATCTTGGTGACCAGCCTTTGGTACGTTGCCCCCGCGTTCTTCAACCCGAACGGCATGACTCTGTAGCAGTACATTCCCTGATGGGTGATGAAAGTAGTTTTCTCTTGACCCTCCTCCTCCATGAGGATTTGGTTGTATTCTGAGTAGGCGTCCAAGAAGCTTAGCAACTCGTGTCCTGCTGCTGCGTCGATATGCGGCAATGGAAAGGAGTCTTTTGGGCATGCCTTATTTAGGTCCGTAAAGTCGACGCACATCCGCCATTTCCCGTTTTTCTTTTTTACCATGACCACGTTGGCGGCCCATTGGGGGTATTTTGATTCTCGGATGGAACCGTTGGCGAGGAGCTTATCCACTTCGTCACTTACGGCCTCGTTGATTGCGACATTGAATTTCCTTCTTATTTGCCGTACTGGTGGATAGAGCGGGTCGACATTCAACTTGTGTGTAGCGATGTCTTTCGGGATGCCCGACATATCTGAGTGGGAGAAGGACAAATCGGCATTGTCAATTAAGAATTTATGAAATTTACCTGGTTTTGAGAGATTGTGTTCGATGTAAGCCTTTTTTGTGTTGTCGTTGTTGTTTAGTTGGACGGGATCGAGATCCTCTATTTTCGACTCAGCGGCTTCCACGATGTCGGGATCCTTGATAACGTCTGTCCGTGCGTCGGATTTGGTTCCCGACATCGTTAATTGCTATGCCTCCACGTTTGTTCCCTTTAGTTGTTGGGTATGTGTGCAATCTTGGGCGATATGATAGCATTGTTGAGCAGTGCGCTGTTAGCCTCGGATGCTGAATATTCCCCATGGAGTAGGGAACTTGATTGCTTGATATAGGCTTGACGGGATGGCCCTCATGGCGTGTATCCATAGCCGTCCTATGATGGCGTTGTAGGCTGTATCTTGGTCCATGATATGAAACGTTGTTTCTAGGGTGACTCCTCCGCCCAAAACGGGTAGCGTTATTTCTCCAGAAGTTCGCTCAACTGCATTATTAAAACCCATTAGTGTTATGCAATGCGGTATTATCTTGTCCTCGAGTCGCATCTGTACGAGGACTCGAGGATGGATAATACACGCGCCGCTTCCGTCGTCTACCATTATTCTTTTCACATCAGTATCTGAAATGCGTAAAGTAATAACAAGAGCATCATAATGAGGGAAAGTCAAACCGTCGGTATCTGACTTACCGAAGATGATACTATCTTCGAGGTCATCATACTGTTCGTGGGTGATCGACTGCTTGAGTTTGTGTGTAGTGGTGAATTTTACATGGTTGATCGCTGCCTCGTCGCCTCTGCTGACAGTACGAGCAGAGGAGGGTGGCTTTAAAGGCCCCTGGTGCTGTTCACGTCCGCGACCGAAGTTGGCTCGTCCCCGGTCGCTCATTAATTCTCTCAGGTGCCCTTGGTTCAGCATTCTTATTACCTCTTGCCGCAAACCTATGCAGTCCTCAGTTTTGTGACCCCGCTCTTGGTGAAATTCACAGAGGGCATCCGACTTTCGAGTATTCGGGTCGGACTTCATCTTTTGCAGCCATTTCACCTTCGTGCCGAGCTTCTCTAGTGCATACACTATCTCTGAAGGGGAGACACAAAAATTGTGAGCAGATAAGAGCGGAGGCATACCTCTTTTGTTTCGCTGAGTCCCGGTGTGCGGCCTGGGAGGCCCTTCCGTGTGCCGAGGAGGTGGTGGGACGGCTGTTCGGATGTAGGGCTGATGTCTTTCTCGGCCGAGACGGGGACCCGGCTGATCCTTTCGATCGTCGTTACGATGATATTTCCTTGATTTTGCTTGAACTGACGTCAGCCGTTGGGTCGGACCATTGAGATCGTCCTCGTCGGCTCTCACCTCGGCGCAATAGGCATTGTGGATTTCTTCCCAAGTGGTGGGGGGAGGGGTATTTTATGAGCCTGCTTAATAGTTTTCTAGTTGCTCTTGACCCGTTCCTGCTCAACCCGTTCTGGAAGGCTGCTACCGCCATCCCCTCTGATACATTTGGTAGGCTCATTCTCACCCTGTTAAAACGGGCGAGGAAGTCTCTGAGTCCCTCGCCAGGCGATTGCCTAACGGCGAATATGTCATTCACCCTGGCTTCCGCCTTTTTAGCCCCTACATGAGCGGTGACAAACTTGTCGGCCATTTCCTCGAACGTTGCTATTGACCGTGCTGGTAGTTGCGAGTACCAGGTTAGGTCTCCCCCTGTTAGGGTTTTGCCAAACTTTTTTAGTAGCACCAATGGAACTTGCTCCTTCGAGAGATCGTTGCCCTTCACCGCTGTGGCGTAGTGGATGATATGATCTTCTGGGTCTGTAGTGCCATCGTATATTTTCAGGTACAGTGGCATTTTGAAAGTTTTCGGAATGGCATGGGGATCTGCTTCCTCACTGTACGGTTGTTCGACGAATCGACCAACGTCTCGTTTCGGTAGCAACTTTGGGGCGCCTGGTATCATATCGACCCTTTCTTGATGCTCCTTCATCTGGTCACAGAGTGCCTTGTTTTTGTTTTCCTTATCTTCCATTTTTTTAGAATGGCTGCGAGTGCGTCATTACCTGCACAATGTGGCAGTGTAAGTGTTACCTGTTTGGGGGACGGGCTGTTCGCCAGTTGTTGTTGTGATATCTACTTGTGCGGTGTTTCTGTTCTCCCTTTGGACGGGTTTGTCGAGTATATTGTTTAGAGTGCTTGTCAACCACTCTTCCAGTAGCTTTCTCTTTGCCGGTGGTGCTTCCTCAGTTATTGACGTGGAGGCTTGATCGGGGCCAACCCTGCACCACTATAGAGTGGCGAGAGCGGTCTATGCAGCTTTTACCCGAATAGGTCGGGATCGAATCCATTGGGAGCTAGAAGTTGGAGTTGGTTTCCTATCCAAACTAGCAATGTGCACTACTCTTAATTGCACTCCCAATCATAGTTGGTGTTTTGATTACTTCTAATATTATGCTAACAAGATGCTAAATTAAGCTAAGAGTGAAATACTTGATAGGTTATCTAATTGGTTAAAGAGGCACTAGGGAAGTGACCCGCTCCTAGGTGGATATTTGACGGATTCTCAAGTCTAAGGCAAGGATGTTAAAATGGGGATTACGATATAACCAATGCACGAATCTTCTCACTCTATACCTCTCGGTAGTTTGAATGATTTTGCCCGAATTGACTTTCTCAAGACCAATTGGGTATTACAGTTGAGCAAGCAATTGAGGTTCAAGTCGGGTATTACTATCTCTAGGTTTAATCCTTTAATTGGGGCTATCAATCTCTTGAGTACGCCCCAATTCCTTGTTGGACCAATTTTCCTAGACTCAAGTTCTCTTTCTCAAGAAGAACCCGAGTCATTAAGGCACAAATTAGTGTTTGCAACCACTAATTCAACATGGAAGACATAAATTGGTCCAAATATCAAACACCCATACACATTCAAGCCTTAAAACTCAAGTCCCATCAAATACCCACACTAGGGTTGAGCCACAACCCTAGCTAATGGGTCTAGCTACTCATAATTAGGGAAGAAAACAAGAAATTAGATGAAGAAATAACCATAATAATTAATTACAAACTAAGATAATAGAGATTCAGTGTAATAGTAGCCCAAAATTACTCAAAAAGGACTAAAAGCGTCGTTCACGTGCTCAGCCCCAAGTCAGATTACAAAAGATGACCTAAAAATGTGAAAAGAAAGTATTTATACTAGGACGAATTTTCTGGACAAAAGTACCCCGGACGAGGTAGTGCGGTCCGCACAAAATGCATCGCAGACCGCACTGAGGCTTTTTGGCTTGGATCTGCAGTCTCTGAAGTTGGCCACCGCGGACCGCATAAAATGCACCGCGGCCGCGGTGGTTTCTACTGCGGTTCGCACAAAAGGACCGCGGACCGCAATGGCATTAATCCTCCATAGTCCCAACTATCTGAACCCTTTCTTTGCGGACCATACAATATCGAGTGCAGCCGCGGTGAGGCCAGTGCGGTCCGCACAAATTGCTTTGCGGCCGCACTGCTTGAGTTTCCGGAATAAACACCTCTCTGAATCTCCTTACTGCGGCCGCACCCCATTTTGTGCGGTCCGCAGTGGGTCTTGTTTCAACTATGCTTGGACTTGTCCTTGTACTTGTGCATGTTTCACTCCTTTTGAGCTGATTTTGACTATTTGTCACCTTTTTGATCAAACCCTGCAAACAAGTACGACATGTAAGCCTTTGGGACTATTTTGTATACATTTTTACTCAAAACTCAAGTGAAAAGGAGTGTAAAATGAACTAGAATCCCTAGTTATCAAGGCTCCTCTTTCGCGTGAAGCTGTTACGCTTTCGCGTGGAGGAGGTGAGATGCTCCGCCTAGGCGCATTTGGTGTCGCGTTCTCGTTGTCTTCCCTGCCATCTTCGTTGATGGTGTTCAAGATGTTGGTGGTGACACTTACTATCGTTTTCAACCTCGCGTCTTCTTTTCCTGCCATTGTTAGTCTATACAAACAAGGAAGAGATGTCTTTCCTTTTTTTTATGATCTAGAAAGAACTATAGTTTCAACTAAAAAGCTCCCCACAGACGGCGCCAAATTATTTTAGCAAATAATTACTAAACCAATGAAGGATAAATTAATAGGGTGAATCTCAGTTGAACTTAATAAATTCTAGAGCAAACAAGACAGAGTTCTTGTATGACGAGTTAGGGTTAGGAACATTAAATAGCGAATTTAATATGCGATGATTGGCAAGACATGTAATATCATAAATGTATAATAAACGCAAGAATGATAAGGGTTGTAGTGTGAAGGAATCGTCACCCAATGATTGTGCGATTGGGTGTTTCCTCTCTCTGACGATGTGGAAAGGTAAGTAATAAATCTGAGTTATGGGATCTTGAGATTTGTGGATAAAGATTGAACAACATATGCTTGAATAAAGAGAATAAGACAACTCTTTCGTATTGTCACACCTCCTTTTTACACACCCGAGGGGTGATAGGGGGGTTTTTCCACTTTAAGTGATATTATTCGAAATGGGATTATTTATTTATTTAATTTTTTAGAGTCGCCAGTTGGAATATTTTAATTGGTGCACCAAGTCACCGGTTTATTTTTTTTAATCCCAAATCGAGGAAATTTCGACCTTTTTTTTGAAGTATGCGAACCAAAAATTCTAAGTAAGGAATTTTGTTAACCCAGGAGAAGGTGTTAGGCATTCCTGGGTTCCGTGGTTCTAGCACGGTCGCTTAAACTATTATAATTGGCCTAATATCTGATTTTAATTACATGTTTTAACCTATGGTGCATTTTTAGCTTATTAGCCGCTATTAATTAATTTTAGGAAGTTTCAACGTTATCTAAAACATGTCTTGAACTACGCCACATGAAATGCACCCGCAGTCCACGATACATTTTATTTAACGTTGTTGAGAATTGGGATTGGGTCACATGAAATGCACACCCAAGTTTAATAAAGAAGGAAATCAATTTAAATAGCACGCCTAAAGCAACTATGCACTTTCAAGTTAATAACCAGGTTTGCGAGGGCCATAGAAAATTCAACTGATGGCACACCTCGATTTCTAAAGAGTTAAAATTAATTAAGTGAAGGCCATGAGTTTTGGGACTTTATTCGGCATGGCACACCTCAATTTACTTCTATTAAAAGAGTTTTTGATTTAGTCTTTGAGGGCCATAACTTATATGTTTGGCTAATATGGCACGCCTCGACCTAATTTGAAAGAGTCTAACTAATTAAAGAAGATTTAAAGGAATTTGAAATTATTTCGGGCTAATGTTCAAACCTAAACTTAATAATTAACGGCTTGTGTTAAATTGAAGCTAAGCATTTGGTTGGCTGGAAAGACTAAACCAGTGCCAGGCCCAATCCTTCTCTTGAGCGTTTATGCATCCAGACATAAAAGGGGAGACTGGGCTCACTTGAAGCCCATAACGCGTAAGTGAAATAGCAGGACAACATTTTTGATGCAACTGGGCCAAACGCTATAGCCCGATTGCATGATTCAGCACATATAATTGATGCAAATTACATTGCTTCATGAAATTCTGGAGATTAAAACGAATAATGACTGTTTCTAAGCAGATAAAAAGTATATTCTAGTGCCAAATCATGTTTTTATGATGAAGCTATAATTCTAATGTGACAATAACTCATTCGCAATCATCTTGTCATCTAAAATCTAATACAATTCATGACTTTTAAACAAAGTACTATATGGTTTCAAATAGCATAATACACTTACTAGTATAGACTCCAACAGAAAGTTTTTATCCCAAGCCTATACTTGTCACTTTAGCAAATTCAAACGAAAATCACCACAAAACAAACACTGATTTCAGCAGACTAAAGTATATCTAAAACATATTTAACTCGACTGAACGTTCTACTACCATAACCCCAAAAGTCCATACATGTCCAAACAACACTTCAATAGCTTTACAAACCCCAAAACTACTGGATTTAAACAACTATCCAAGCTTGCAAATCAGGTTTGATCTAACAACATAACTGAAAAGGTCATACGTGAAATGGAACTATGCTAATACAGAATTAAGTGAGTTCAAAAAACACAAAAATGGCATTTGATGAACATGTATGCCATAAGCTTCCAACTTAACCAACAGCAGCAGATCTTTTCATTTCATCATATCAAATGAGGTTCAGTAAATACCTGAATACAGCAAAATAAACCAGAATAATAGCCTGAGGTTAGGAGGAAGCAGCAGTAAATCAACAGCAATGGAACAGTGCCAAACAACAACTCAAACCAAACTATTAACCCAACTCAAATCATTTTCAACCAAGGTGCACGATTTGGAACTTTTAGAAACTCTAATTAACCAACGGGAATCAAAGAACCAGAAACCAAGCAAAATTTTTAGCAATTTTCAGTATTTTGGAGTTTGAAAGAGACTCAGCCGTTTTCTAAGCTTTTCAGTGTTTTTAATTTTCTCAAAAATCTGACTTGAGAGTGAAGAAATAGCCTTTTATAGAGAAGCTCTAGGGCAGCAGAAATGAACTTCAGTTTTTCCTATTACTCCTTTTTTAATTTTCGTTTTTGCTAGTTAATCCCTGAATTTTTAACTTGTTTGCTAAGTCAGTCCCTTTTTCACCTTCCAGGAATTTCCTATGTCAGTTACAAGAGATTCCCTTAATCAAAATCCCTAGACTACCCTTAAAACCTATGTTATTTACCCTCAAGACTTGGATACGGGTCAAGTTGACCCAATATCAATCCCCAATCAGGTTTGGAAACCCGGCCTAATTCCCCTCCTTGGGCCTCTGTTGACAGAGCCCAAATCAAATCGAGAACCCAACAGAAAAATTCAAGAAAGAGGGAAACTCGGAGTTATATGAACTCCTGGAACCAAAGATTCCAAAAAAAACAAAAAAAAAACAGGAGGGAAATTTGAGCGAAAACTAAAACAAAAGAACAAAATATACCGGCTAGAATTAACAGACATGCAGAAAGATTTTAAAATAAAAAGGAAAGAAAAGGAGAAGAAACAGAAGAAGATGAAAAAATAGGAATAAAAAC